ACGTAGATCTGTCAGAATTTTCTAATCCTACAGTTAAGCTAATGCAGGAGACAGGTGTAGGAGACTATTTTCATGTTGTGTCTGCATGGAAAGCTCACAGTGAACCACAATTTTCAAAAATATTTAGTAAAGAATGTTTTCTCAGTGAAGGACCTCTTACTACTGGATCTGTGAGTGCAGTCTGTGTGAGTCTGGAGGTTCTGCTCACCTGTAGCGACGATGATACCAGGCACTGAGCTCTTACTGGAGATCGCTCCAGACACGTAAGGATTCTCGGAGCCGTGCAGTTGCAGATGAAGGGAACAAAAAGGCTGAAACAGAAAAAATCAAAGATGTGTGAGATCAATTCAAATAACATGCATTTTAACTAAATCATCATTTTGTTTGGTAGATTTATTAATTATATTGATTGTAAATGTGATAAATCAGTTGTTTACATTAACTGTCACAGAACAAGTCCAGATCTATTATTTAAATAAAGACCACGACATAAAAGTAAAAATAAACACAGCACACTGTATTTACTAGTAAAAAAACTACTTTTGCTTAGTAAAGTTTAGCATTTAATCTGTCATTAACACAAAGAATGATGAATTTAGCATTAAAGAATGAAGCCGAGCCTCGGAGGCGCTCAAAACAGAATACAACTACAATTGTTCACAAAGCAGAAACAACAATGCGTGCTTTCATCTGAGCGGCAGCCAGCGTGTCTGGTGTGAGGACATCGCAGCAGCGGGACTGAACAGGGTCATCAAAAGGGATCTATGGCTGTAATTAAAATGTCACCAGAATGTGCAATCACAGGGAACCTGGAAGCCTCCGCGCACGGCCCTGAAATCACCTCTCAGGCAGCAGGAAGTCTCGCTAATGTCTCAAAACATGATTCCTGCAAACAGCGAGCCTGTTAGTTTTAGTTGTGGGGAGGCTGTCTAATGAGGACAAAATGTTAACACATGCCGTAGATCTGGATCTGTCACTCTGGCACTGAGTCGCCTCGTTTTCTCCTCCGCTAATGTTTCCTCTCGCTGCTCCCGTCTCACACCGACGGGTCGACTCAGACGGCTTCCAGCAGAGTCGGCTTCTGGTGGAGTCGCTGCCCATTGTGGTCTGGTGTTTACTCAACAGGATGGGGGGTGTGGAGTGAGGACCTGATGCAGTCAGTTGGTTACTTTAACAAAAGTTACTGTTGGGAACAGGCGGCTGTTTCACAGCAACAAGGCTCCATCCTTGTCCAGTTTACTAAACTGGACTGTCCGGATTAACTCAGCAGATTTTGGAGAGAGCACAACATCTGGTTTGGGAGTCTCGTTTTCGGGCCATGGTTGGGCCCTCAGCCCTTCCAAATCTGATGTTCTCCCATGGAAAAAGGTTGAAGGCTCCCTTCAGGTTGGTGGTGAGTCTGAAGCCTGATTCGTGCTTCTCCTTCAGCTCCAAAAGGGAGAGAGACGCACGCACGGACAGAGATGTTTGGCCCTCATACTTCTCCATCTCCTGGGGAGTGTTGCAAAGCAATTCCCCGGCAGGACAGCAGAGGGCGTAGCGCTGTTCTGTGGTATCCTGTCATGTATCGGTCCAAGATAGTGTGTTTATATTGTGTGTTTTTTTTTTTGTATATAAGAGACTTTTTAACACAGACAAATGTGTCTCTCATCCTCCTCCACCTACTCATGGGCTCGCCACCTCTAAACCCACGTTTCCTGTCATTTCCGTCCACAAATAAAACGCTTGCTGCGCATCTTTTCACTCCTTCAGTCACGGGGAATTAAACGTTCATGTTTTTAGTTTTTTCACGAGGTATTCTTCAAGCTGCTCCGTGTCTGCCGCTAGTTATCCTCGGCTCTCTTTATGTTTTTGAGGGAGCAATGGCGGCGGTGTAGACGACAGCGGAGTCCTGACCAATCACAAGCTTGCGTTGTCCGTCTCGACTGACGGGTGTTTAGAGAAGAGAGCTAGACTCCGTCCGTCCTTGCGCAGCTCTCCGGCAGGCCCACAAGGACGGATAATGGCGTTGCGTGTCTCCGCGCTGACGCAGACGCAGAAGCATGACTCAGGCTTTAGTCTAAAGCTGAGTTCATCCATCTATCTTGTTTAAGGGATGGTAGGATGGAGGAGAGTAGGACCCACGGATCGGGGAATGTTGTGTGGTGATGAATCTGTAAGGCCTAGTTCACACGGCAAGATTATGAAGCAGTTTTTTTTACCTGAATCTCTCATTCAGACAATCACAGCACACTTCAGATTACCACAACTGTTCTAAAGATAATCTGACCAGATAGCCCTGTCATGTGTGGTGTGTTAAGAGCAGTGATGGGAGTAACGCTGTTTAAAATAAACATTATAAATACATATTTTTTTGAGTAACGAGTAATCTAACTAATTACCGTCTTTTTTTATCATAACGCCGTTTCCGTTACTAAGAAAATGCGCGTGTTACTAATTCAGCAGCGCGGTGTGTTGAAGCAGTCATCAGCTGATCAGGAGCTAAAGAGGCAGATGTTTT